ATAAGCCTACCCTAGAATGAGAGAAATCAAAATTGTGAGAAGTTGAGAATGATAAAGTTCTCTCATGGTGAGGGGTTTATATAGTGTTTAAAAATTGAGACATGGAAAGACGTGCATAAGGAAAGGAAGAAGATAAGGAAATAAAAAAATGGGAAGGAAGATAAAAATAAAAACAAAGAATAAAGGAAAGAATATATATATATATGATATGTGTATATATATATAAAAAAAATAAAATTTGGCAAAAACGCCATTTAAAGAAAATGGCAAAGATGCCATTTATTAAAAAAAAAAAAAAAAAAAAAGAGAATTTTGCAAAAAAAGAAAAATGCTAATTTTGCATAAAAAAGAAAATGGCAAAAACGCCATTAAAAAAAAAAAAAAAGAGAAAAAAAAAAAATTTTGCAAAAAACAATTCTGCATAAAAAAATGGCAAAAACGCCATTTACAAAAAAAAATGCAAAAAAAAATGCCAACTTTGCCAAAAAAAAAAAGAAGGCAAAAAAAAAAAGAAAAAAAAAATTTTCTATGTTTCGAGATTCGTTCACGCCTTAAACATTTTGCGTCGGCTTAAACAAGTCTTGATGGGGCATTTTGTAGACACTAAAAATATATGTCTAAAATCAATTAAATATCATGTATTTTGGAAGAAAATAAAATTCCAATAAAATAAATATATGGTATTTAATTATGCACATATGTTAATTTTTGTACAATAAATATCAACCATTAATACAAAATTTGCTTAAAATGGAAGATATCGTACAAATATTACGTGCATAAATAGAGCCATAATAAATTTGGCGGCAAAATAAATTAATCTTGTCAATAAAGGAAGTATATAAATTAATATATTCCAAACAAGGCAATGATATAAAGATCTTGTCAATAAAGGAAGTATATAAATTAATATCTTCCAAACATGGCAATGATATAAAGATCTTGTCAATAAAGGAAGTATATAAATTAATATCTTCCAAAAAAGACAATAATATAAAGATTTTGGCGAAAAAGGAAGTGCATAATCAAATCCGTCAAAAAATGGAAAACGGCATCCGATGAAAAAGGAAAGATTATAAAATCTTTCCATCCACGTGGCACTATCCGAAAAGGAAGCCAAGGCCACCCTCCCCTATAAATAGGAGCCTTGGCCAATTCATTTACACACCGAAGTTCATTTTGAAGACTCGCGCAAGGGTAAGTCTTTCTAGACTCTCTGCAATGTTCTTCATTGTTCTTCGTGTCCTTCGAAGCGTTCTTCGTCGAAAAGTCACCGATTTGGACAAATGGTCCAATATTGGTTGACGAATCGATGAAGTTAACGTTCTTCGTCGTATGTCCGAGCCGGAGGAAGGATCAAATCTCTCAAAGCCATCGAGGAATCCATCAAAGCCAAGGAAGAGCCTCCAAAGTCGCTCCCAAAGCTTGAAGATGTTCGTCGCGTTCTTCATAAAAGGCGCAAACCAGGCCCTCTTCGATCCAAAAGTCAAAGGGACACGCCGCCAAAAGCGTTATGGAGCACCAAATCCCTCCCTCAAAGATCAAATTCCGTCGGATCATCCAAAGAAGGCATCAATCCAAAGTCGACGATCAAAATCGCCAACACGGATACCAAAGTTTCCTAAAAACCGACGAAGTCAAACCGAAGACCAAAATCCCTTCGGATCAAAGAAGCCACCCAAATCCAAATTGGAAAAATGGATCGACCCGGAGAGAGAATCAAAGGATCTAATAGAGAATAGGACCCGCATTAAATTTAAATTAAATATAATTTGTACAAATTTTGTGTTTATAAAAATATAACACAATTTTTTTTGTCTACAATTATTATTATTATTAATTAATTAAACATTATTATCTAAATATTGTGTTTGGAATCAAAAGTATAAAAAATGAGAGAGAAAATATAATATTTTTATCCAAATTTTAGGTTGAGTTAACAACTTGGACTGTTCAGTTTTTTGTGTCGCTCTGACCTGATCCAGTCTGAAAGCGGACCGGACAGGCACAATCCAATTTGAAATCGGGCCTGAAATCCTCGGCCCAAATACGACCGAGTTTCAAACCGAGCCAGCTTTATTTTCTTTTTAAAATTATTTTTTCCTTTTTTCTAATTTAAATTAATTTAATAAAAAAATTATTCAAATAATTTAAATAGGAATTACACTCGCGACCAAATCCTAAGTTGTGTTACTATTTTATTAATTAATATATATATATATATACAAATATTAAATAATAAATATTAATTTCAATTTTAATAAATCGGATCGGGCAAACACAATCTGATTTTCATGAGCTATGGGCATAGCTTGGTTTATTAGTGTGTCGGGCCAAATACAATCCGAAAATTTTTGAATCTATTTTTAGAAGTCAAATACAACTTTTTCGTGCCGTGCTCGGATCAGACTTTTGGATCGTGCTTTGACATTATTTTTATTTATGGTGATTTTATAATTTTTTATATAAAAACAAATGAACTGTAAAATAAAAATATATAAATATTTTAAAATATTTCAACTAAGGGAGACGAAAAAGAGCATAGTATTTTGTTTATTTATTCCGTTCTAATTCAAAGTAAAATTTTCACTATTTTTGTTCACTATTTTTGTTCATCCTACTCAAAAGTATTATTTTTTCTTTTTAGTAAAAGTAATTATACATTAATATCAAAATATATTTAATTTTTATTTAAATTACAAATATACTATTACACATGCAATTGTTTTATACAATAAGTCAAAAAACACAAAATATCAAAATCTTTTACACACTTCAAGTAATCAATAAAATACTACTCCCTCCGTCTCGGATACGGTGTCCCCTTTCCTGTAGATACGAAAATTTAAGAGGAGTATAATTAGTAAATAATTAAGAATCTATTAGGAAAAATAATTGTCATTTAATGAAAATAATTGTAAATTAAAATTAAAATAATTAATTAGTATAATTAAAATTAAAATTTAAAAAATTAAATTAAAGTGTATAATATTTTTTCAATAAAAGAAATGACATAATAAATGAGACAACAAAAATAAAAAAAATGAACACAGTAAGTAAAAGAATTGAGTATTATTTTTTAATCTCTTCGAAAGGAGCGGATGAAAGTATTTTTTATAATGATTGTATTTATTTTATAATAAAAATAGATATTAATTATAGAAAAATAGATTTACCCTTTTTATCCATTCTACTTTTAATAAAATAACATACTCTATTGTTCTTTTTATATATCTCCACTCGGGCAAGTATGGATCGCTTGTATCAACGGTTAATCCGGTCAAGTCATTATGCTACTGATTCGATCGGATCAGTATGCTATAGGGATGACTAGTATATATTTATACATATTTTAAACATATTTATAATACAATATGTATTATATTATAATTTAATATATATTATTTTATAATAGAACATATGTTTAAATATTTATAAATATATGTTCGTCACTCATATAACATATGTTCACCTAGTCAAATCAGGACCATGTTAATTTGATCGGATTAGCAAAGGATTTGCAGCCCCTCCGGTTCCGCGTAAAATATTCATTTTTGTTGGTCTCAAATTTGTCATTTTCCCTTTTTAAAAAATAATGAAATTTTTATTATATTTAAAATTTCATATTCTTTTTTTTTTATGACGTGGGAACCCACAACCGCTACCCGAAAGTGCGCACTGGGTAAACCTCCGGCCGAACCTAATACTCTATAAATCAGGTCCGACGGAAAAGTCGCACTATGCGAACCATGTGTGGCAGGTGACCTGATGCATCGGGAGTTTGAACACATATTTTTAATTAAGGGTTTGTTTGCCCACAAATTATTTTTTCTGATACGGTTTTCAATATATATTTTCTTCGTCCTTTAACAATGTATCTATTTGTTTTTTACGCATTTTACTTAATATTAAAAGTATATTTACATTTGTATAATATTTTATACAAAGATTATTACATTTATATTATACAACACTAGTAGATGTATTTTTTTTCTCCTAATTTATGTTACATGTGCATCTAATATTAATATTCAATGTTCAACAAGTAAAAAATTAAATAGATATTTACTTAAAGACGGGAGTATATGTTATTCTTGAACAAAAATCAATATTTAATATGAAATACTACCTTCGTCCCATGAGAAGAGTACCAAGGGTGTTTTGCGTGTTGATATTTAAATATTAATTATTATATCAATACTTAGTACAAATAAAAAAAAACAAAAATATCTCTATTAGTCTTTTATAATACAAATAGAATGATATTTGTAAAGTAAATTATATAAATATAAAGACATTTTAAATGTTAAATACAATAACACACAAAAGACCAATCATGCTGATTTTATGGGACATATATAGTATTATTTTTTATATTAACAGCACAATTCAATATATCTCATATAAAAATATTCAAATCAAACCACTAAATAAACAACCAAATGTTTTATTATTTAATTATTTTAATTTTAATTTATAATTATTTGTATTATACAACAATTCATTTTGCTAATATATATTTTCAATTATTTACTAATTATATTTATTATAGCATCAAAGTAATATGAACATGTTATGGGGATGAGGATGTACTACTTTGAAGGAGTATTATTATTATTTCAACCTTCGTCCTTGTCGTTTACTTTTCGGACGTAAATTTTTTAATATTAGTATTATAATAAATTATAGTAAAAAAAGATAAAAAATATCCTTATTAGTATTGTATAATATACAAGTAATGACATTTATATAATATAGTGTAAGTTGGAATGGTATTTATTATATTAGGTATATAATACCATTACTAAATTAAAAAATTGTAATCTTAATTTTGGATCAGATAAAAATAAAAAATGACTATTTCAATTGAACCAATCGACTATTATTATTATCTATTTTATAATATTTATCATATATATATTTATGAAATTGCACAACATAAAAAATATCCAAAAAAGTAATCCAATATCTATTTTACAATATTTATTATATTTGATTAAGCCAATTATCTTCACTCCAAAATAAATCCACCACCACCACACCCTCTCTCCCTCTCTCTATGGCTCTCACCGGCACCGGCGGCCGTATCCTCTGCAACGCCGCCATTCGCACGCCGTACTCCCACCTTCTCCGCCGCTCATCTCCGCCGTGGCCACGAAGCTCCAATTCCAAACTGTGGGCGACTCCCAAGAAGCTCTCTTCGCGGACCGGGAAATTCGACGGCAAGAACCGCCGGAGCAGTCCCCTTCCGACAGAGGAACAAGATGCGACGGCGGTAGAAGCCACTGAGATTTCCTCCGGCGAGGGTGATTTCGTAATGCCGGAGCTCCCCGGAGAGAACCCCGATTTCTGGGAAGGCCCTCAGTGGGACGCTTTTGGATTCTTCATTCAATACCTTTGGGCTTTCGGAATCGTCTTTGCGGTAATTCATTTCTCGCGATTCACTTTGATTTTTTATTTATTATTATTTATTTAACTTACAGAAATTACTATAGTTATGCAGTAGTGGCTTCTTAATTCTATTTTGCTGTTTGGTTACAAATTTTGGATTGTGAATTTGTGGTCTCAAGATATATGAACAATAATGAATTTTCCAAGAAAAAAAAAAACAAAAATACTACCTCCGTCCGGAAAGAAGATTGGCAATTATTTTTTTTCCTCGTATATTAGTATTATATTGGTTCAACGTAAAATAAACAAAAATACTCCTATTAATTGTGTGATAAAAAATAATGACATTTGTGTAATCTATTGAAAGTTATAAAGGTATTAATTATATATATAGTTATTAATTATGTTATATAGGTATTACAATTACTAAATTATGAAATAGTATCCTTGTTTTGGAACGGGACAAAAATGGAAAATAGTACCTTCTTATACTTATAGGACAGAGGGAATAAAGAATTTTCCAAATATCAAAAAATGAACAATAGTTTGAGTTTTATTGTAAGATATCCGGAAAAAAAAATTGTCTTATTTTAATTAGAATTTTTGTACAAAGACACATTAGAATTTTTGCTGCTATTTATCAAATATATTTTCTTTCTATCAAGTCATCACACCAGATATTCATTTTTTATTATTTTAAAAATATTCCGAAAAAATTTCTTAACCTCTTAACCAGGGGCCGAATCCGGTACTGATTGGATCAAATAAAACATATATTTCTACATAACTCATGATATTGTGTTATAAATTTGTTATGTTGTATAAGTATAATATATAATGTATATTTTTATTATATATACAATGAGCTAGAGTTTGATATTATTCATAGCTTCGTTTAGCTTAGTAAATGAGCTTTTGTTGAGCATGAACAAGTCAAGTCGAGCTAAGTTTATGAGCTTGGGTTTGTTTTCTCGATGTTTTATTTTGTTTTTAGTGTATTTGCTCATTTAACTTGGAGTTTGATTTAAATTTCTTCAATATATTATTTTCATGATATTTTATAAATATACAATTATTTTATTTGACAAAACATCGTATCTAAATTTCTACTCAAACAAAAACACGAAACTAAATCCAAGTAAACAAATTTGTTATGATATTTCTGAATTGAAATAATTCTTAAAATGTAATGTTTTGTACAGAAAAATGGACATTAGATATGACATATATGGAGAGAAATATGTATTAAGCGATGGTGTATACGTACACACGGGCGAATAAGAGATAACAATGATGAATGTAAAGCTCAACTATTCGTTGATTTGAGTTTAAATTAGTATATGCCAATTTTTAATTATAAACCAACTTAACGATAATAGTCTAAACAAGCTTATAATAACCTTTTGATTATGACAAAAAACATTCTTAACTCATGATACATTGTCCAAACATTGCATTCGTGAAGGCATCTCCGTTGCGGCAATGTGCTTCGTGATTAATTAGTTATGCTGAGGTTGATGGTAGAACATAATACGATTTTCTTGAATGTTAAACTGCATTAACATGGTTGGTTTTCCGCAGATTTGATTGGTATCTATGTGTTTTTGTTCATTGTAGTTAATCGCCTGCGGTATTGCTGTGGCTACATACAACGAAGGAGCAACGGATTTCAAGGAAACTCCTGTATACAAGGAAGCAATTCAATCTCGGGATCTTCTAGAAGGGCCAGAAGCATCCGACTCGGATGTGTTCGAGTCAAATCCAACCGAGGAAGCGCCTAGCTTGGAGTAGTAACGACCGGATGCTTGATTCTCGAGTCGTGAGAAAGCGTACGATCAAGTTAAGTTAAGCCCACAAATGCTTTATCGCAATAGTAAATAGTTGGACTTACATTTCGAGCTTTCTCGCAAGTATATTTTTATATTTATTTGGTGGAGTCTATGGTTTTTCGTGTTCTGGGTAGTTGTAAAAGTTTGAGACGTAATGAATGGGGTTTCGGTAAATCACGAGTAAAGCTTCTAAGCATGGATGGTGATGAGTATGATAGAATTATGATGAATTGATCTTAATTACTATGTATTCGACGATCCTATGTGAGCGAAAATAGTAGGGCTAGCATGATGATCTACAGGTCGATGGATTTTGCGAGCAGAGGAAAGATTACAGCAAAGGATAACATTACGAAGAACTGATCTTCTGGCTTTAACCTCACTTGTCCACTGTGTCGAATCCCGAACATCATCGAGCTCGGCCTAGGCGCCACCGTGACTATTGGAGATGAAGCTGGCAAATGATCCATTGGTCAGTAAGCTATTTGTCGTAAATTAAACAAAACGAACTTGTACCTGGAACGCCCGAACTAGGCTTCTCCCCGAAGGAGACTTGAGCGGGAGAAGTTCCTTCAAAAAATAAAAATACAATGATAATGAGATGCATCAGTGGCAGAATTTGCTTTGAAATGAATGATTGTTAAAAGGGATCCGGACTTCCAGGTGAGGTGGTCCATCGCCCTTATAAGCTAAAGGAAGATCTCACATTTTTCCAATGTAGGATCTACTAACACCCCATCAAGATGATAATCTCAAAAATCCATACAAGATTCAAACTCAATACGGGTCCCATAATTCAGATACATGTTAAAGGAATTTAGACTTTCAATCTAAAACCAATTGGTGATATGTGGAGTGGCCCTTCATCCTTATAAACTAAGGGAAGATCCCATATTTTTCCAATGTTGGATCTACACAACACTTCCCCATTGAGACAAACTCAATACGGACACCATGACTTAGATACCGTGTTAAAGGTATCCGGACTTCCGATCTAAAATCAATTGGTGATAGGTAGAGTGGTTCATCACCCTTATAAGCTAAGGGAAGATCCCACATTTTCCAATGTGTGATAACACTCCCCATCAAGATGATAATCCAGAAAATCCATACAGGATTCAAATTCAATACAGACACCATGACTCAAATACATATTAAAGGATTCAAACTTCCAACCTAAAACTAATTAGTGATACGTGGTCCTTGTCCTTATAAGCCTATAAAGGGAGATCCCACATTTTTCCAATGTGGAATATATTCAACGACGATGGACGAGCATACCTGGACAGGTGGAGGGGTCGATCCGGAGGCTACAGAGGACGGGCAACTGGAGGGCGAGCGTCGTGTTTATGGGGAAAGACGACGACAAAGATGAGTCGCGGAGGAGCATGCAGATGCAGGCGGGTTTTTGAGCGTAGAGGCGGGCGAGGCTAGTGCAGCACATTTGGACGGGCGCGGCAGCCGCCCCCTGCACGAAGGGCGCGCACGGGGCGAGCGGCAGCAAGTTTGCGCCACACTCGGCCATGGTGGTCTGTGTCTGCACCGGCACCGGTAACGGAATCAGCGACGGAAGGAGGAAAAGGAAGAAAGCAGAGGACGGCATTGTACTGTTGAGTGAGTTTGGTGGGTAATGCAATGCGAGTGCTGCTGCTGCTACTGACTAAGTACTGTAAATGAGAAAATTCATAATAAATAGAAAGGTGAGTGTGAGAGAAGGGGAGAGAGTGCCTTGCTTATTTGCTTATCATGCGCACTGTATGTTTTTCTCAGTCAAAATTCATTCTCTTCATATCCTTCCGGCCTCAACATCCAATTGGAAACCGGCCAGAGGTTGATTGATTAATTACTGAATAAAACGCCTAAAGTTTGTCTTCTTTTTTTTTTCTCTTTTCAAATTTAAATTAGGGTACATTATATAATAACCTTTCCTTTTGTTTTAGTAAAACATGTATTAAACATTTCGAGTTCTATTTATTGGGTAAAATTCTTTTTATGTTAAATGTAAAATTTGGATGAAATACACTATTTGTCCAAAGCTGATGTTTGCTTCTAAATAAATATCTAAATTATGTAAGTTTTATACAAATAAAAAATATAAATTAGTTTAAATAATTTTTTTAACAAAATAAATAAATAAGTTATCAATCATTTATTTCAATAACTTATGTAAAAATTAGATAACAATTTGTCTCTAAATAATTATAAAATGATTGATAAATCAATTATTGATTTATTTTGTTCAAAAAATTATTTTAAATATTTTAATTTTTTTTATTCGTATAAATTTGCTTTGCGTAATTTAGATATTTATTTAGAATCAAACATTGGACAAAGAGACGATGGGTTTCACACAATAAATAAAAGACAGAGTATTTTGTACAATTTTACTAAAAACATAAAAAAGTATTACATAATTTACCCTTTAAAATAATATTATTCATTTGTCACAATTTTTTAATAATAATAATATACTACCACTGTCCGGCTTTAAGGATTTTATTTACTTTTTGCGTGTTGATCTTTGAATATTACTTATTAAATCAAAATGTAGTACAAATTAAGAGAAAAATTACAAAAATACTTTCATCCGTGTCTTATAATATTTGTAAAAAAAAAAATTATACAAATATAAAAATATTTTTAATATTTAGTACAATGACGTCAAAAGGTGTGACTTTTAAAAGCGGATAAAGAGAATATTATTTTTTCTTATATCAAAATATTATTTAAACAAAAATTTAAATCATCATTTTATTTCAAAATTATTTTGGAACCACAACCAGGCAAATATGTTTTCAACTTCTTTGTCACTATTAATCAAGATTTATTTTTAAAACAATATCATGCTCAACATTTGTTCTTAGTTTAAAATATTATATTATAAATATTTTTTAATATAAAATCAGATTAAATATTTATATTTATTTAATATTTTACTATTTTTATCTATAATTCTTCAAAACACTTATAAAATACATTTAAATACAATTAAAAAGATAGGAGATAGTATTTACATATTAAGAATATCAATAACTAGGAGATTTAGATCAGTAAAAATAAATCACACTAAGCGAATTATGTGTGAAAACAAAACCTAAAAGCATTAAAAATTTGAGGATCATCCATTACCGGACCAATCACACTTGTTAATTGAAGTAACTAATGGTAGAGAAATTTTTTTATAATACATAAACTTCAGTTTTAGAAAAAAATTGGCAAGTAAAACATATTTTTTTTAATAAAAAAGAGAGGAAATTTTGGATTGGTTGGTTACACAACAACCCAAAATATTTTTTTTTGCCCAAATAAATATCACGTAAATGATCAAGCAAGCAATTGTCTGATGTTAGATTATATTGCATAGATTTGTATGGGAAATGTCTTTCCTTCGCTCTAAAAATATTTTTATTTTATATTTTATATATATTATGTAAACATTATGGGTGTAAAAGTCTACGCATAGTCAATATCATTCTTCTGAGAATATCCCTTTGCTACAAGACGAACTTTGTAACACTCAATTGAACCATCATAGTAAGTTTTAATCTTGTGGACCCATTTGCATCCAATAGGGTGTTTGCCCGTTGGTAGGGATACAAGATCTTAAGTGCCAGTCTTCTCAAGAGCCTATAGTTTTTCTGACATAGCTTGTCGCCACAAAGGATCAATATTCGCATCCCGAAAGGACATGAGTTCATGGTAAAACAATATGGAATAGCAATCTTAATCAAGAAAATAAGTGGGGGATTGACTTACAGGAGTAGAACGATAAATAGTGACATTATGCACATCGGGAGGGGGCTCCAGCACATATTTAGGAAATACAGGTGTGTCCGCTGGAGAAGATAAGGATGGTGAGACGGTCTCAGGAGCAAGATATGTGAGCTCAGTACCTGTAGAAGTAGGAAAAGGTAAAGAAGGATCATGTGTGAGAAACTGTAAGGTAGAATGAGAGAGGACATTGAATTTAAAGATCGATGAGAACATCTGATGTTCTCAGAATGTGATGTGAAGAGTTACAAAGAAGTTAACACATGGGATCCTAATATCAATAATCCTTATGCTCTACCCCATAACCAAAAAAGCAATACAAACGAGCCTACGGTTCAAGCTTAGTGCGTTCGAGAGGCAAGGGGAGGACAAAACAGACACCCAAATAGACGAAGAATAGAGTAATTGGAGAACTGGCCGAAGAGCTTGTCAAAAGAAGTGGCACCGTGAAGAGCAGAGGAATGTAACCTATTTATGGTATAGACGAAAGCAAGAGCGGTTTCTCCTCAGAAGCGACCAGAACATGAGGCGGAAAAGAGAAGTGCATGGATTGTATCAAGGAAGTGACAATTTTTGTACTCTTGATGACCATTTTTTGGGGATGTGTATGGAATCGTTGAACAGAAGTACCTTGAGCAGAAAAAAAAAAAAACTAAGAAACACAGAGTCATTATACTCTAGGGAATTATCTATCCGCAATGTATGGATAATACAAAAAAACTGAGTATGTATCATTTTAGCAAAAGAAATATAAATGGATATAAGTTCAGATCATTGGTTCAAAAAGTAAATCCAAATCAAACAAGAAAATTCATCCACAAAAATCACAAAATATTTGTACCAATTCATAGATGATACTGGTGAAGGTCCCCAAGTATCCGAGTGAACTAAAGAAAATAGTTTATCAGCAATAGAGAAAATTTTGAGAAAATGGAAGAATAGATTGTTTGTCAAGCTTATAGTCTATACAATCAAAAGACACAAGACGTACAGGACCTAAGATACCTTTATTGACGAGAGACCGTAGCTTTGTGTGGACACATGACCTATCCAAAGATGCCCCTGATAACCAGAATGAGAAGAGAAAACTGTGGCTAAAAGAGATGGATGAGGGGGAGTATGAAGGTGACCAAGCTCAAATAATCGACCCGTCTTGCGCCCTATCCCAAGATGTTGATATGTCTGGGAATCCTGAACCTACACACCAGAAAATGAAGAGATAATAGTAAGACATTGGTCAACTAATTGATCAACCGAGACAAGATTTAAGGCTAACTAAGGAATACAATAAATATCAGTAAAGGATAAGATGGGGACGAAATATGACCGGTGTGAGTTATGTGCATATGTGAGCTATTATGGGAGGTAAGGTCAGAGTGGGAGTAGAGGAACACAAAAGTTCGGTATTAGATATCATATGATTACAACAAGTTGAATCAAAATACCAACGGGTGTTGACTGAGGGTAGATAAGGATCAGAATTGGCAAAACGAACCTGGGAAAAAAACTTTTGAAGGTCCTAAAGAGTGGAAGGCAAGGCCCTAATAGACTGCGGAACACTCGTAGCAGTAGCTACGGAAAAGGAACTACCAATCTAAAAAGAAGAACGATTATGGCGAGAACAATTTTGAATGACATGTCCCTTAATATGGAATTAGTGACACTCGACTTTGGGGCACTTAGTACATAGATGATCTCCATTCTTACATCAACGACATTTATCGGACTTAGTCTGACGAGGAATGGGACCCCGACGAGTAGTACCGAAGGATTGAGATGTGACAACCAATGCAGAGTCCAATAGAGATGACCAAGTGAGTTTGAGGCCAGTCTCCTCAAACATAATGTCCTTTATAGCAGCATCCAACGACGGAAGGGGATGATGATGAAGTAATGAGGCACAGACAGGTTCAAATTTTGGACAGAACTTTATGAAAAACTAAATAAGTCAAAGGTGGTAGGGGTTCGATAGCCTCTTGATCGATACGATCCCAAAAAGGTTGGATGGTAGAGAATGAGTCATTTAAAAAGTATCTAGGTTTATGTGTCGATTCGTTTAAGGAGTTGATGAGCTGATAATAATGTGCGAGAGTGGTAGCCTGAAATCTCGACTTTAAATAATCTCAATCTTGTTGGACAGTATCAATACGGCGGAGCTGAATTTGAATGCTTTACTGGAAGGATTTTGAAACCATGTAAGAATATGATAATTCTTGTTGTCTCAAACCTCTAACTGCTCTTGGTAGGTGATAATATCCTGTGGAGTTAGAGGATTATCTGGAGTAACAATAGGTTTGATACGCGCTATAAAAGTTTTAGTAACAATCCGCCATATTTTTTCTACCAATAAAAAACTTTTCATAAAATCGGTACAAAGATCATAATTGTCACTTGTCAAAACAATGGTATAGGCAAAGAAATATCTATATGCTCTATAGAAAAATTCCAAGACCAAATAGATGAAAAATAATAATAATAATAATAATAATAATAATAATAAATAAAACAAAACAAAACAAAACAAATGATTTACTCCGCTCCAAATTGAGGTCCACAATTCAAATCAAATCCCAATACAGTTACTAAAGAATTTCCAAAACTAAAATAAAATACACAGGAGATGACCGGACACCTCGCCAAACTTGAACTATGGAAAGCAAACTTGAAATCCGGCTCCGTCGAAAGAGGCGAGAACCAGAAACGGAGCAGATTTTCTGGCAAGACAGACCTAACTCGATTTTCCGGCAACCAAAGGACACACGCACCACAGCCGTGAAATTCAGAACACTGGCCAATCTCATCAAGGTGGAGCCGAAGGCGGCAGCGGTGACG